TTGGGATATAAAATATGATTTCTTGTTACACTACACTACGAATTACGTTAACATAATGTTACGCTTCCCGGAGTTCGAATGATTCCAGTAAGCAAATAAAATAACACAACAATTTATTGAACTCCCAAATACTAACTATAATAATCACTAACTCAAAACTATAGCTCGCGAATCGAACACACTCTGTATATAGCTTTAAATATTTCCTGTATAGCTGTCTGATTAACTCTCCTTCACTCCGGTCGCCTTGCCGTATTTATATTAGCGCGCAAGGGCTCTCGACGACCTGCGAAGATTCTCCATTTTTCGGGAATTCCATAGCCCAATCGACTATTGCCGTTCGTTCTCGAAGTATCGAGCTAGGCGTCCCGAAAACGCTGGAAGCTGCGTTGCCGCTGTGCGCTAAAAATCAAGCCGCAACAATAACTTAAATAATTCTAAAGTATTTGACACATGAAAATAATATTAGATTTCGATAAAATTCGAATTATTTAAAAAACCTTTAGATTTAGACATTATAAATCTTATTAAAACAAACACTTATTTTTCCCAGAGAATCCAAAAATGCAATAATACATGGGGTACTTCATTTAGAAAAACACAACTTTGATACTTTTAGGGCTTTTGGGACACTCTGTACATTACAAAAATATTTTCAAAATGTGCACCGGCCTCTGTGCGATAGGCCTCTGTGGATTCATCAAATAATACTTTGCAAAAAACAAACGGGCTAGCCGCAAACGTCCGTGCCGTATAGCGTGAACAGCCCTGTATAAGACAATTCATGGAAAATTAGCCAGGAACCCTACATGGACTTATATTTGTGTCAATAACTCGAACACAAAATCAGATACGAAAAAACTGCAAGAGACTAGAAAATTCCTAAATTGAACAGCCAATTCAAAAATTTTAGCAACCAGTCGCCTTACATACGGGTAAAGATTCTAAACACTAGCCTACGTTAAAAATTTGAGCCAAATATTTCATAAACTGTAGGAGTTAAAGAGAAAATCCCAATTTTTGTGTGAAACTTTAACACACTGTATCTCGTTAACTATAAGCCTGAAGAAAAAACTTAAATGAAAACGCGACTTGCTTTGAGGTGCTTTACACGCCCCTGCTCTGTGTTCAAAAGGTTGTGAATCACCCTGTATATGGGTTTATTTGGACACCAATTTGTTTAGCGCTGTGTATCTTCTTTTTCTAATCTAAGTCTACCTACAAGAAATTATTTTCTGTATCTAAACATTTCGTGGAAAAACTCTAATTTAGCTAACGACTTGTGCTTGAAAAACATACATTTCAAATAATCTGCACATTTAATGTTCAGTCTAACAATCACCGTGTTTAATTCATCCACAATTTTTCGATTGTACTGCTTTTGTTTTTTTATATACAGGGTGGTTTTTTAAAAATCTTGAAACACTTAAATATTTCGAAAACGAGTGAACCGAGGAAAAAATGTTTTAAATAAGAAGTTAATATCTGGGAGGGGGAAGTTTATTCGTGTCAGAAAAACAACGCCTACTTCGACCTTGTGCGCTAAGCAGGGGTCAACTTGAGAATTTCAAATGGTAACCTCGACATTTTATTGGAGATTCGAATGTCATAAAATTCGAATGTCAAAAACGGGGAATAATTTATCTAAAACATTTTCTTCGATTTTGACAGGTGGCGCTGTAATCCATCTATTATCCATTTTTTGGCTTTAGATCTGCTGAACTATTATTTTATTGAGACGCTTAAAATTTTAGTGTGACCAATAGCATCTATTAATGTCAGAGGAATATTCAGTCCGAAAATTGTTCGATGATGAAAATCAAATATGTACCTACAAATCAGCAAAACATCTATTTGTTTATTGAAAGTTTATCGGCCGACTTCTCTGTATACAAAAATAATTTTAATTTTTTCTTGCACAGTTAATGTGCCCATATCAAAAATTATAGTAGCTTATTTGAATCAAATTCAAATAGTGGTTCTAACTCAGAACGAAATTAATAAATGTCAAAGTCAACAATTTGAAATTTCTACGCTTTTATCAGCGTTCCTTCAAAATTTATCTCAACTCAATGTAGTGTTGAGATAAATTTTAGATGACTTTGACACCTTCATATTCAAAATACATTTCGAAATGTCACGTATTAGCAATGCGAATTTTCAAACTATTAATGCTATACTTTTAATAAATAGATATATGTTTTGTTGATTTGGAGGTACATATTTGATTTTCATGATCAAACAATTTTCGGACCAAATATTCCTCTGACATTAATAGATGCTATTGGTCACACTAAAATTTTCAGCGTTTCAATTAAATAATAGATAGTTTAGCACATCTAAAGCAAAAAAATGATAATTGATGATATGCAGCGCCACCTGTCAAAATAGAAGAAAATGTTTTCGATAGATTATTCTCACTTTTTGTTGTACTATTCGAATATCAAATAAAATGTTATGGTTACCATTAGAAATTCTCAATTTGGCCCCCTCCTAGCCTATAAGGTCGAAGTAGGCGTTGTTTTTATGACACGAATAAACTTCCCTCTCCCATATATTAACTTCTTATTTGAAACGTTTTCTCCTCGGATCACTCGTTTCCGAAATAGTTTCAAGATAAAAACACCCTGTACATTATAAGTTTTTTTTATCAAAACTGAGTCAATAAGAAAAGTACCGAAATAAAAATGTTTAAAGGCCGCAACATTTCGGTTCGGGCAACTGTTTGCCTTGGAATTTTGCTGTAAAACCCCTGCAAAAAGTAAGCAAAATGTCAAATAATCCCACATGCCTCGTTCTCGTTGATCATCAGGGCGTTTTTATACATTCTCGAAATTGCTTGCAGTTGTCTCACCATTTCTAACGCACGACACGTAGAATTCATCAAAATGTGACTAATTCGCCTTAAGGCGTTCAATCCATATTCATTAAGGGAAAAACATCGTCTAGACTGTAGCAACCCGCAAAGTTTAGTCTGGAAGGTTCGATTAGATTATATTGTGTGATGTTTGCTACAGCTTTGGCTGGAATAATAGATTGAAATTCATCGTGTTATGATGGGAACCACATGCCTTCCAAGTGTTCTTTTACATGCAAGAACTCCCCTGGTTGGAATCTTTAGCCAAACCTGAATTTTAAGGTAAAGGAGGATGTAAACGACAGCGCAAGTTCAGAAAAAAATTCTCTAGCTTTTCAGTATTATTCAGTAAAAATGTCCAAGTTGCTAGTCATTGAGTCTTCCCAGTTTGAGCTGAATGCCAACTCCATTCCGTAATTCTTTTAAAGATCTTTGAAATTAGTATAAATTAGCTGAATTAAGTAAAGGTGGTATATGTACACTTTACCGAGAGCAATTACGTTAACCGGAGCAGACGTTTTCTTCATTTCCAATTGAAAAACACCGAAGCATGAAAATTGACATTGTAAATTGAAGGGAAACATTTTGCACGCACTCCTGATCGGCCGACGAACCAGACAAAGTCCATTATATTAGCTCTGTTGTTCTATATGAGGAACGCTTAAGCAACTCTCATCCGTATTCGCAGCAGCTTTGTCGTTATTAAATTTCGCTTAATAATGTGGTCCGTGGTCGGAAAAACATCAAGAGCTTTGGGATTAACCAGTATTAGGTTATGTCCTTTCGGACGCTGTTTTTGTCCTAATAGAGTTACGGCAAGTTCTATCAGTTCCACAAGTTACAACTCGTTGACAAAAGAGCAACGGATGACTATTGGAAATAATGGATAATTAGAAAACAATCAACATGATGAATGTGGGAAATGGGAAGAAAAACACCGGATCAGATAAACCAAGGCGCGTATAAGTATGAGAAGCGAGAAAATTGTGCGTTTCCGGATTTGCCAAGGATTTACTTAAGATTTCAACCGCATTTACACGCAACAAACCAAATTTGAAAATGAGCTTGCAAAACTATGCTTTTGAGCATTGGAAGCAAACTAGTGAAAAATTACACTAGTAAAAAATTAAAACTATTTCTGATTATATCAATACATGCATACCACTCTCGCAAATGTAGAAAATAATTCAGACAAACTCAAGGTTTTCAAGAAGGCAAAGACCTAAAAGGACGTTGATTTTTACCAATCATGAAGTAAGTTTTTCCGGTGTTTTGGTCTCCCAAAAGGAAGATTTTTTTCCCCTCAAAAACTGATGATTGTTTTAACACTTTGTAAATTATAATTTTTATACAACATGTTTTAATTGTGAATTGGTGTTTGTGGTTTGTGTAAATTTTAAATATGATGATGGCGCTGTTGTCTTGCCGAAACGTAATGAAATAAACGATGATTTGTTAAAATTTTTACTTGGCACTTTGACTGAGACCAGGAAAGATAAGAATATTGTCCCGTGGATGGCCGGATGTCAAACTCTTTCTTTAACTTCCAATTTTTATTCACCTCGGTATAACTTTAACTACGGAACAGGAACAAATTAACTTCAAAATTACCGTCAACTTCACAAACAATAACAATAACAGGCGGAAAACTCGCTCTTCCGACTCGCGGGGTTGAACCTCTTCTGCACTCGGTCTCTGCTGTCACTTCACTGCCTCCCTCTGGTTCTCGTCGCCATTTATATAGTTTCCTCCAGGTAACCCAGATGGTTCTCGAAATCTCCAGAACAGGTGCGAAACTTCCCGCTTGTCAGTGTCATATTTGACAGTAAATG